TTGTATTACTTGTACCAAAAGTCGGCAAAGCGCTATCGCGAATTGAAGGGATTCAGCGAGATTTTCGAAAAGAGCATAGCAAAGCCAGCCAAAGCCTTTGGAACGAAATGGATCACCCACAAGTTGAAAGCTATGGAGACCTTTGTTGCCAATTATGGCGCATACATGCTACACATTGAGTCATTGTCCCAAACAGATTCGGTGCCAGCAAAAGAGAGAATTGAAGGGTTTTGTCAAAATGGACGTATGCAAAGTATCCTATGCTGATGACAGTATACATTGACATTTTGATTAGTATAACGCTTCAATGTTCAGATTTGCTGTCTTATCACAACATATATAATCTGGTGCAAAATTAAGAGTAGTGACTTTTATTTTTAGGTTCTTAGCCTGGGATTCCAAAAGGAAGTTCACGACCCTGTTAAAGCGGTGAAGCGCATTAATGAATTTGAGTGGACTATGGTAAAACTAAAAGAATTGATCAATAAATGCGTTCAGGACGACTCCGAAAAACGTATTAATTTTATCTGTTTTTGAAGGAGTGCGAAGCCACAACGGAGGAAGCTCTCCAATATTGGCTAGAGCAAAAGATTAGACGCCCAAATGGTGCAAATCCACGAAAGTCGATCAGCAGAAAGGCAATCAAAGTCAACGTCATCTACAAACGCCAAAATCAAAGTCAAAATCAAAATCAAAATCAAAGTCAAAATCAAAATCAAAGTCAAAATCAAAGTCAGCGTCATCCACTTCGTCAAATTCTGATTAAATGAGTAATGTATATATTATGAACACATTATTCTGAAATTCAACATCTTAAACAAAAGAAGTGTCTAACTGTTGTGTCACCATACCTGTTCCTTTAAATACATCTTTAACAGCCAGTTCAAGGCGATGGTTGAAGCAATGAATAGTAAGCAGCCATGGTGAGTCTTTGCGAAGTTTGGCTGCAAGTCCGTTTATGCTACCCAAATTTACCGAAGCTCCATCCACGTTTAGCGCTGCCAGTTGTCTTGAGAAATTGTTCATGTGAAACCGGGAAAAGCAATCCTGTATCATCTTCTTAAGGCAATCTGCACTTGTTGATGTTGGTAATTCAATTGCTAAAAACCTTATTTGAGGGATACCTGTCCATTGAAAAAATAGAAATAACGCATCTAAAGACAAGAATCGAAATAATTCAGTTCAGTGTATTGCATTTACCTTCACTGCTTATAAAAAGGAGATACAAAACTTCCTGTTCAGAAACGCCTTTGTCAGTGCTGCCGTTGGTCAACAAAGAAAATAGCGTGTTTTCTTCAATTCAGACATCAGCTTCTGCTTGAGTTTGTCAGCAATTGAATCAGTGATGTTTGCCATAGCACGCTCGTTTCGGAATTTGGAACTGCGAATCATTCCGTTCATTTCGTTTAACGTAATTGAAGTGGCTAAATAGTAGGCAGTGTTGAAACGAGTAATCATTACTTTCCTGTCAATCTCTGCCATTTTCATCAAACCTCTTCCAATTGGAGATCGTTCAATAACTTGTGCGCCAAAAGTTTCGCCCAAGGACTTCTGATCAAAAAGACGTTTTTCATGTTGATGTGCTTTACCTTGGACATGTTTTTCCAAGCTATCTAATTTGACAGATGTTGTCCCATCTATCCATGTTTGCGAAAAACCAGCTATTGAAGAAATTGTTGAGGAGAATTCCACACAGACAGATCATTTTAACCCTTCTACTTTTTTCTTATCTGTACTAAGACTTTTGATCAATTTAACGTTTAAATCTCGCTCCCAATTTTCTACAGTGTTTTGCTTCGCCATCGTTAACGTATGCAGTGTGTATTAGTTTGTGACTTTGTCACTTCGCGTTTTCAGATAATATTGAAAATGTTACGTTTCATATTACAATTGATAGCGACGTTTTTTAAAAAGTTGCGACCATTTTACGATAAATTCCTGTTAGTCACATTCCTGAGGCATGATGTAATAGAAACGCTTTGAAATTATGCAAATAGTGCAAGAAATTTGATCATTTGATATTTCTTTTGACGTTTGTAAAACTTAGGGAGTGGTCGCAAAGCATAAGAGAAACACATCCATCACAGCAATATAAAAAGAGTGCTTTCAGTAAGCAAATTTACATTAAATAACAAGAAATGCGAAATGAGCTTCGCAATTTTACGAAATTTGCTACGCAATATTTCGCCAAAATCGAAACCACTTCGCAATTTGCGATTTGCGAAGCGCTAATTCGGACCTTGACATACATACACACACATACATACACACACATACATACACACACATAATACAACCTTAAGATAAATGATTTACATATTTTAGGACTTGTTTAGTGTAGTGTGCAGGGAGGTTCAGTGGATTGCTGTAAAACCAGTGAATAGTCCATGGGGGGGGTTGTACTTTTGTGTATTCAAAAGTAACGCCGTCCCAGCCCGAGTTAAAATGTTGCAGCTGTTCGTCATATCATTGCATTCATGTGACAACCCTTGCAAAAGCCATGCAAATCGTTGAAGAGGATGAAATGGATTCGCCATTGGCACTTTTTAAGTTTTCCTTTGGAATTACACCAGAGATGCGAGACTATTTTGAATTGGCTACACTTAGCAAAGAAAAGGTTTCTTTATTTGAAACAGGTATGCAAGATATTCTGCAATGGTGAACATCCTTTTAGCATTACATATACTATTTCCTTTATTGGTATGGTATTTAGCACTTTCTAGCATTTTGTAAATATTACAATTTAATTATTTTAGGCAATGAGAATGATGCAAGCGATTTTACTGATCTTCCTGAAAAAATGGTCATAAAATTTTGGCGCCATCTGAAAGTGGTATTTGTTCTTGTGGTGCAGAGTGGGATAAACGTTTTATTCAAGATGAATAGTTGTACGTAGACTTGTGTTCAGTTCCGTACTTTTATTCTATCCATGATGTGAAGGGTAAGTTCTGATTTGCTATAGCTTACGCTTTACTTCATAATTATTTGACTTAAATAAATTATTTAGTGTATTGTAGACCTTGCTCCTCTTGTGCTACGAAAAAGCATTATGATGGGATTGAAAACAGGATTGTATGGTTTGGATCATATGCAATATCTCATGCCGTTCAAAAGATTACATTCGGCTTTTCATAACGTCGAGGTACTTTTTAATGAAAATTTGCCGAAGCATTAGTAGCTACGTTTGTCCATTATATAATTTTCTCGCCCTATCTCTTTTGAATGTTTTTTCTTTTTTATTCTTGTTCAGTTTACCTATGTACAAATATTATGTTGCGTATGTACAAAGGCAAGTGTCTTCGGGTAATTTTAATTTCCCAAAGGAAATAACTTACGCCAAGTTTCGTCTTGCTATCATTGCCATGATACGGTAAGCATCATTTC